AGAATTGCAATGTTTCAACTCAAAAAGTCAATTTTGCATGTAGGAAGATAAAATACTAAAGAAGTCAAGGGCTGTTTTTCCCCACCATCCTTCAGTATTTAAACTTTAGTAAACTTCTAATCAGATTTTTATATTTATTAAATCAGTTATATGAATAACCACAAACAGAAAATATTCAGGACCATAATTTCAGATGTAAAGCAGTTAAAATGCTTATTTTCACTTAAACTTTCATTTTGTCAACAGAGTTGAATTCAATTGTAATGAACCTATTATGCTTTTTAAGCAAATAAGCATCCTGCATCATGCCTACAATTATGAAAAACAAAACTGCATAATTTAATAGGCTTTTTGAAAACTCGAACTATTTTTATGCCAAACATTATTTATATGCAGTAGAAGACTAAAGCTAAACGATGAGGGAAGAGCCGGACCTTTACAATTTATCCTCCAGGACATTTGCAGTGTCCTTAAAATCTGCCTTAATTTCCATTATTACACCTCATTTGATCCTCAATAATTGACTATGCTTTTCAAATAAACATGACACAGGAGACTTGGCCTAAAAGAGACGTTCTTCTGTTCTGATGATTGTCAAGCTGTTTAATAAAGACTTGGGTTTAAATATTAAAAGAGAAAAGCACACAGCACACAGTGAATTATTGTATTTTATGGACTGCTTTAACCACTTTATTAACCTTGAGAGGTTCAGCTCTATATAATCTATGTAACTGTGGATTTACTGCAGAAAGCTGTTTTTAAATGCTTTAAAATGTATGCCCTCTTCCACACTCAGCTGTAGTATGAGCTTCATTTCTGTGTGCTCAAACAGGAATGTGCAGGGTTTTTTATGCTTGAGGTTCAGCTGAGGTTAGAGACGTGCTACGCATGCAGTCCCTTACGGGTTGAACAAGACTGATTCAGCTAATGAAGTAACAATGCCTTGTCACCAGCTTTCTTTTCTCAAACAGCAAGGACAACCATCCTGACAGAGTCATTAAAAAGGATGCTCACATTTGAATTTCCCTTGTGCCTGATGTCTTAGTGCTGATCTTCAGACATATTCGCAGAAAAAAAAAAGAAAAATGCTCTGCTGATGTTCAAGGTGACATCAAGGGCTAAATATATCCCTGGTGTCTTCTTTGTCTTGGCTTTAATAAGCCCTGATTTAAAGCTGAAACGCACTAATTCACTTTCAAAAGGGTAGTTGATAATGTGCAAGAATAAATACACTACATTGCTAACAAATGGTAATATCAAAGTCATTTATATATTTAGATATCACTACTGTATGTACTGTAACTGCAGGTTAACTATGTTCATATATAATGTCAGCCCTATACACAAGACCTTAACCTTTCTGATTTTGATTGTAATGCAACAGTACATCTTTTGTCAATTTTTGGGGTTCGTAAATCATGCAAACATACAAACAGCTATACACATCATAAACATTAACAAATAAACACTATATATATATATATATATATATATGTATATAGACAATAAATGGAGACCACCAACAATAAATTGACCATTGTTTCAGTTTCTATCTTTCCCATATACATGAGGGTTTTGGTTTGGAGAAGCCACAAAGAAGCATACCAACACATCTGTTGCATGCACAGAGTGAAGCATGGGGTGGATCAGTGATGGTTTGGACTGCTATATCATGGCTTACCCAATACTTGTGCTAGATGCATGCACCACTGTTAATAACCACCAAATCATTCTGGAGGACCATGAGCACCCAATGCTTCAAACATTGTATCCTGAAGGTAGTGTCGCTTATCAGGGAGATAATGCACCACACAGCAAGACTGGTGACAGAGTGGTTTGATGAACATGAAAGTGAAGTTGAACATCTCCCATAGTCTGCACAGTCACCTGAAATAAATATTATTGAACCACTTGTTGTGGAGGAGCGAGTCTGGAAATGTTTTTCTTCACCAGCATCACGTAGTGACCTGGTTACCATTCTACAAGAAGAATGGTTCAGAATCTCTCTGGCCACAGTGCATGACTGGTATCTGTCAATCCCAAGACGAACTGATGCTGTATTGGTCACAAAAGGAGGTCCTACACCATAATAATGAATTATTGTGGTTTTAAACCAGGTGTTTTAGCTGTATTGTCTAACCCCTGTAAGTTTTAAGTAACAAATAAATTAATAAACAGTCTTTGACACTGTACTAAGCAAAAAAAAAAAGAAAAAAAGAAAAGAAGCTTAAGTGTTAAATTTAATGTAATTACTAAATACTACTCCCTTTATCTTAAATAATATAGTAAAACAGTAAGATTTTTAAATTTTAAGTGTATTTGAATATATGTTGATGTGTTTGTTGATCAAAGCTACATTTCCAGTGTCATTATTTTCGAAGTCTTAAAAGTCATATTTCCCTTCTGAAATAGTTTTGATATGGTGCTCAGAAATATTTGCTAAAAACAACTAAAAAGAGCTCAATATTTTTGTGTTAAATGTTACGTTTTGTGATAAATTAAAAGGGGACCTATTATGCCTTGTTTTAAAAGATATAAAATATGTCTTTGAGGTCCGTTGAGAGTATATGTGAAGTTTCAGCAAAAAGAAAAAAAAAAGACCAATTTAGCTCTGAAACTGTGCCTTTTAGCCTTAGATCCAAAATTGTGACATTTTGGTGACTGAAGCTTTAAATTTTTTAAATAAATGTTGCTTTAAATTTTTCAAAAGAGGGTAGAGCTGTTAACACCTGAGTGTCACCATAGCAGCAGACTCAAAAACTGAAGGAGTGTCAAAAGAAGTGTCTGAGAAGTAGGTAGTTTAAACTACAGTGTTCATTTATGCACCCTAAAACTCCACATTTATAATGCCTCTTAATCACTGACATTATCTTCAGCAGGGATTGCTTTATTTCTCTAAAAATTAACTATAGAATCTGGCCAACAACACTGAGCAAGCACACGTCACTCAAATAACTCATACAATGACGTTTTCATTCTGCCAAGCACACCATTTAAACATTCACAGTGTTCAATGTAAAAAGTATGTGATATAATAACAGCCCTTCAACTGACTGCATGCTAGCACATTCCACAGATTTTTAAAGCTGACACTCTATTAAGACTGACCTCACTGAAACTTCACAGCTGAACTTTCTCTATGTATAGACTATTTGTCTTACTGAGGATTGAAAAAATTCCACGTTCAGCGAATCTTAATCTTATGTAATCATACATCTCATATGTTTTAATCAGGGGTGCCCAAACTTTTTCTTATGAAGGGCCAAAAACCAAACTTGATTGAGGCTAGTGGGCCAGAGGTAAAGTTGCCACAAGTAATTTCCTAATTTATTTAATGATAAAAAAATGACTAGAAAACATTGCTTTATATAAACTAATACAGTATTATTTTAACATTAAAAATAAACTTTTTTTTCCCCAGAGATGGGTTGCAGCTGGAAGGGAATCCGCAGCGTAAAACATATGCTGGATAAGTTGGCGGTTCATTCCGATGTGGCAACCCCATATTAATAATGGGACTAAGCTGAAAAGAAAATTAATAAATGAATGAATAAACCTATTACAGTAAAACCAAAACGATCTAATTTCTAACAGAATTACACTAGTTTTTGCCTTGATTTGCTAGCCGATGTCTTCTGCATAGTCCTCTATGTGTGACAGTGTTACCATTTAAAAAAAAAAGCAGATTCATTTACATTTAATTTAAACATTTAATTTCAGTTTGCTTTGTTTAGCTAAAAATGTTACGTCAGATTAGAAATGATCTCTGTATTTCACCCAAACCCTTTCCATCAGTCTCACTCTCCTCTCAGATGGGATGGTGGGCCAAATCAAAAGTTACAATGGGACAATTTGGCCATCTCTGATATAAGGTCTGCATTTTTGTTATATTAATTGTTATTTTCAGCAGACGACAGTTGAAGATTAGGCCAACTATATTCCAGATTTCAGAAAGCCCAAAATATTTACATTTGTTTCCTGCATCTGCATGTTATGATTAACTCATCAATCAATCATTCAGATTAATAACTAACAACTTTAAAAAAGAAACAATAAGAAACAAATACATAACAAGTTTTAAACACATTTTTGCATATACAATGCAGATCCGGACCTCTATCAAAATGTATTTAAGTGAAATGTTTATGACTAGGCCTGCTCAAGGTTTTTTCTTTCTCTAATACTGACCATGAGGTCATTTCACCGAATGAATAAATGTAAAGTACTAGTCTCTTTTTCCACAAGACAAGCATCTACCTATCTACATTCACTTCAATATGCTCTTAGGTGTTCTTCTAGCCTTTACCTTGGCAGAAATGAAAGAAAATTCACATAATTACAGAACCAAAGTTAACACATGCCACACAAAAGCTGCTAATCCAGCTGACTTCTGAACAGTTAATTAAAACTTTCATCGGCACATAAAGCAGAAACGTAATCACATGCCTGCAACATTCATACAGTTAAAGAATCATATTCAGTAACTGCATCGATCACATACTGTATACATCAACTAAACCATTTAATTCAAGTATGAATCATTCATAGATTCACATATATAATAATATTTAAAAGGAAAGTTCACACAAAACTAAAAAAAGTCTGTCAGCGTTTACTCATCCTTCACTTGTTTCAAGCCTTTCTGAGTTTCTTTCCTCTGTTAAACACAGAAACAAGCCATAATCCTGCAACCATTAACTTACATATGATTTGTTGTTCCCACTATGGAATTCAATGATAAATGGATTTCAGCTTTCTTCCAAATATCCTATTTTGTATGTAAAAAGAATAAAGACACTAAATAAACATCAGTTCATATTCAGTTTTGGGTGAACTGACCCTTTAAATTTTGTAACAGCCACCTCTCAAGAAGCCCTGAAACTCTTACAAAGGTGCAACACAGCACAATCTATTTGTGACTAAAAGTCTGAACGAGGTGCTATGATGACGATGGTAACGTGAACGCTATAGATTATTATGATAAATTTGCCTAGACTCACCTCCACCTGTTGACAAATCTGGATGAGTTTGGCCATCTGGTTCTCCAGCTCACTGTTCCTCTTCACCAGATTGGTTAAGTTATTCTCCAAGGTTTGCTGTTGGAATGACAGAGACGTGGCATTTAGACTGAATGAATCACTCTTTTGGTCTGATAAAGACAAGCTTTTTCCATTCCTTTTATCATATTTGTTAGAAAAACACTCTATACAGTCAACAAGTTTATTCATGTATTTATTAATATGTTTACGCAGCAGGGATGCATTGATTTGATCAAAAGTAGCAATTACAAAATGTTTTGTGCATTGAAATGATTTCTGAAGGATCATGTGACACCGAAGACTAGGCTCCTAAATAAGTAAGAGCTACTAAAATGTAAATGTACATCACAACAATAATTTATATTTTATTTATATTATTAATTGTATAATGATAATAATAATAATTATATTATTAATTATATATATTTAAAAATAAAAAAAAAATTTTTTCACAAATTGCTCAGTTTTGATTATATAAATGCAGCCTTCGTAAGCACATACCTCAGGCGTCTAAACAATATACAACCTACTCACAATACATACATTTTATGCTATATTAAGATGCTAAAAAGAACAGCCTGGATGTTTGAAACAACAAGAAGTAAATTTTCATATTTGAGCAAACCAGCAATTTAACATAAGCCTAAATCCACCCTCTATTCGGTGCTTGAAAACAAGCTTCTCGAAACTGAAAACTGTATCACATAACATATCTGCTTTCAAAGGATTAAAGCTGCTTTTTTTAAGGACAGCTTTCCCACAGCTCCCTATCTGTCTTTTTCCTGAACGGAGGAAAAACACATAGCGGATGATAATGTTAGCGTAGGTGCGCATGGATAAATGATACAGAGTCCACAGAGATCCCACAAAGACGGATTAGATTCAAAACAAGCAACTAACAGCAAATTAGTTCCACATCATGAGCGCTAATCGTCACTAACGAGAAACTGTGTGCTCTGGGCTGGGACTTTCACACTGGGGGGAGGACGGTGTCCTAATTCATGAGCACTAGTGTACACTTTGCAGAAACAGGTTTGTAGCAATTAAAGTTTAATAAGAGGTTTGAGGTCAGAGCTACTTGCGTTTGTTTAGCTCATGAAAAAGGAATGATGAGGTACTGGCATGTCCAATATCGTACAGTAATGGATTTTTTACAGCACATAAACAGGATTTATGAGAGTGTTGGATTGCACTGGTGCTGATGTCATAACGCACTCTTAAAAATAAAGGTCCTTTAAAGGTAAAGGTGGTTCCATGATGAATCTTTCCACATAATTTATTTTCATACAAAGAAAATTTGGTAATTTCAGAACTGATGGTAACACTTTAGTTGATTTTAGTGGCTTATTGCCTGCCTTTTATTAAGATATTGACTGTTTATTAATACTTAATGTAAAAAGTACACATTCTACCTGATCTTATTCTAGATTTTAAATCTTACCTGATACATAAGCCCAATTATTACATTAATAACCATTATTAAGCAGCCAATTAGGAGTTTTTTGAGCTAAAAGTCATAGTTCATAGTTTATCAAGACTGAGAATTGTACCTTAAAATAAAGTGTGACCTAACTGACTTCACTACATATGGAACCTTTATTTTTAAGAACATTTTAAGAGGTGGAAAACCATGTAATTAGTAAAAAGAGCAGCACATGCTTCTCTACAACACACGTTGGAAAGATAAAGAGGGAAATCGTAGCGACAACTCAAAGAGAGCCGCTCGCCATGCTACACGAGCAGCTGTATGAAGTGATGACCCCAACAGTGGAAGAAAGGAAGAGAAAGACATGAACAAGACGCTGAGATGAACAGCTGATATTAATGACATGAGAGGAACAAAAAAGAAACCCGAGCGGACTGAAAGGCAGGAGCGATGGGAACAACAAGATCGACAGCATTGGCATACAAAAGCGAGAACGGAGCCTTTATGCTTCTCTTGTTTTGTGTTGTTTGTCTGTTCATGCATATGTGATGCAGCCTGACCCTGTCCACCTGCACGTCCCGCACCCCCCATCAATGGCCTGAAATGCTGTCTTGCACACATCCAGTACATAAATTGTAAAAGGCAGCCGGTGACTCACCGCGGCGCTTGTCTTTGATGCCTCCATAACCGCTTCAGAAACTCTGGCAGGGCTCACTTGAAAAGCCTATGAACACACACACACATACATACAGAGCCTTACTGGACTGGCCCGCTGATGGACGGTGGTATTATAGCCCCTGCTCTGTCCAACGGCTGGATTTTGTGCTTTATCTCTCTTCCTCGGCTGGGTAAATGGGTTGGAAGCACCTCGGAACAGGTGAGGGTGTCTGTGTCAGACTGCCTATTCTCTGCGTGCCGATAGCTTGCTTTACTCTGGGGCTTGTTGCGTCAGACAGTCGCAGAGGTGCTTGTTTGGTGTGTCAGCATTTTAATATTCAAACTCACCCGGCAAGGACAGATGGGGGTCATTAATTAAAGACTGAACAGTCGAAGATGATTTATACATCAAAACCGAGTATCACCTCCCGGGAGACAGAAGACAAGCTGCCGGGGGTGAACGAGCTTGGAGACCAATTGGAGAGAGGGAAAAAAAGAGAGAGACAGAGAGAGAGAAAGTTACAGTGACAGTGATAGTGAAAGGAGGAAAGGAAAGAAATGAAAGTGAGAGGTAATTAAATTAAAAAAAAAAATAGTAATAAATAAAATTAAAAAATATATATATAAGTATATGTAACAGTTCTGTCTGGTTCTCGAATCGAATTGGCTGATAGCCATGCGATATTCTGCAATAACAGCAGTCGTACAGCCTTTTATCCCTTCTGTATTACTTCGCCCACATAGAGTGAAAGCAGATGAATAAACTCATTAGTTTAACAAATATTGCAACTGTTGGATAACATAATATATATTTTGAGGCTTTTTCAAGTGAGAATGTAGTTGTTTAGATTACAGCTATGCAGTTTATTAATAAGAATAGTGACTATTTTGAATATTAATTATTTAGGAGATACAGTGTGTTGACATCCATCTGCCCGTCCTACTGAGCAGACAAACACGGTTAACGTTCCTCCACAAGATGGCAACAGAGACTGCACAATAAGCCCTTAGAGGAGAAAAACTCAGTGTTTATCAACTGATGTACTTATACCATAGTCTGGTAGTGTTTCTGGTAGTGTTTGCTTTGCTCTGGCTTTTTTGGGGTTAATTATTGTGATCTCCCCATTGCAACAGAGAAATACAAGGAAATCTCTGTAGACTAATTGCATTTCATGCTGTTCAGCCTTATAATCTTAAATTGTGAGCAAAATCACCTGTTTTGTTATCTCTTTAGAAATTACACTAGACAATCATACAAATACAAGCTCTAAAGTGATGTTTGCGAAGTAGCAGTGGTTTCTGCTGTTCTGACCTCAGCTGCAGATGTGAATGAATGGCGGAAGAAAATAGTTCTCAAAAAGGATTTTTGAGACTTTCCATGTTTGATTTTATTTTTTTTTACACACAAATATGCCATTGAACTGTTGTGTAAATGCAATATCACACTCTTAGCAGTGCAATATGGCTGTACATCATAACTGGTTGGACACTAATTTCCAGCCTTATCGCACTGCTACGAGTGTGATAGTGCTCAAATATATACATATATATGAAAGTGAGGAAGGGAGAGAAGGAGAACCAAGCTGGAAGGACAAAGAGAATATAAATAACATGAATAATAAATAAAGAAATAAAAGAAAGGAACAGGAAGAAAAATAATAAAAGAAGGATATAAAGGAAAAAAGGTTATTAACTAGTAAGAAACACAGACAGAAAGAAAGAAAGAAAGAAAGAAAGAAAGAAAGGAAGAAAGAAAGAAAGAAAGAAGAAAGGAAGGAAGGCAGAAAAAGCATGTAAAGAACCTGATATAAACATGAACTATAGACCCTTTTTACAAGCCTGTTATGACACATTTAACGGTCATCAGCATCTTAGATCCTTGACTGTTTTTAATATTTAGATTTTTAAATGAATGTATGAACATTTATATGTATTTCTGTATGTAGAATATCATCTTTGCTTTAAATTACACAACACAAATTACAGCTTGTGCAAGCGTCTATGGGACAGGACAGGAAATTTGATGCTATTCCCCCCTCTGGCTGCCTTCATCAGTCTCACAAAATTTCTTTCCTTTTTCTGAAAGTATTTACAACACCATCATGGAGTTTTCTTTTATTATTGAAGCAAATAAGATTGTAAAAAAATATATTTTTTGTTGTATTCTCCCATTCACAGCGCTCTAAGTTTTCCCAACTATGATGACTTCCGCAACTGAGAAACCCGGAAATGTGAAAAGGGACTATAATAAAATAAAGGAATCAAAGAAAGAAACAGGAAAGGCAAAAGAAAAGAACAAAAACGATACAAATTTGGAAGGACTCAAATAGAACGAACTGGAAGGATGAAAGGAAGGAATGAAAGAAAACCAAGGAAGAAGGTAAGGAAGTATAAGCAAATTTGGGTAAGAAAAGATAGGAAATAGGGAAAAACTAAGATAGAAAGGATAAAGAGGAAAGGGAGCAGGAAATGAAAAAAAGAGAGAAAAAGAGAGTGCGTGAAGTGGCACTGCAGTGGCCCCAGGACAGCAGGACCAGTGCGGATTGGGCTGAACAAGTCTGAAGTAACTCATTAAAGCAGACACTAGACTTCAAAGACACGGACACAGAAAGAGAGAGAGAGAGAGAGAGAGAGAGAGAGCGAGAGAGAGAGAGAGAGAGAGAGAGAGAAAGAGAGAGAGAGAGAGAGAAAGAGAGAGAGAGAGAGAGAGGGAGAGAGAACGACACAGTAACATGTAATCTAATATGTAAGAAACGCAGTGCTGCAGCACACAACTGACACTGTGGCATGCATGACTGACATAAAGCAATGAGTGAGTGAGAGTGAGTGACAAGGAAATGCCTTTCTAGGCTACATTTTAGGGCAATTACAACCACTTATCCTGTAGAATTGTTGATCAGCCCTGAATCAGCTCTGCCGCGAAGAAACTTTGAACCCAACGAAACAAAGCCAAAACAGCCAGAAATCTCAAGTCCACACGATTCTCAAGGGCCTGTTATCAGATCAGAGATTATCCCAGATACAGAGGCAAGTGGAGATGTACAAGATATTTGCTGAGTTGCCGTTTGATGCTCACACAGTAGGCGTTACGCGCTTTAACACCCGTGTACTGCGTCCATTAAGTTCTGGGTCAGAGTGACAAACAACAACAAATCCCCAAACAGAATTAGATCCTGAGGCGAGAAAAACAGACTTCAAAGTGGGTGTGTTTAATTATTCTGCGATCTTCTCTCGTGTGTGCTTTTTTTTGGAGGGAACACAATGCGGAAACACAGCAACGGGCGGTTGAGTGCGTGCATGTGTCAGCAACCAGTGCCTGCTGGGAAATGTCGCTCGCACAGGATAATATTCCGAACCAGCACTCTCTAGAGACTCGCAAACTCAGTCTAATGAGAAGCCACTGCTGTTTCTTACCAGCCTCCGCTCTTCTAATTAATTAGACAGAGTCATTTAATTCTGTCTACATTACCCTTGTTTGAGGCTTGTCTGGGGAGCGCCATTAAGCTTTTAACGCAGTGGAATACGCCCCCTTCTCTCCATCAAAAAACGAAAAATCAATCCTGTAAGGCCGCGCTTAAAGCACTGACCCTGTCAAATGTCTAGCATGCCTAAATCCAAATGAAAATATAGTCAAGTTTTGTCAAAGCTCAGTTGTTGTTTTTTCTCTTCCATGAGAACATCTCTACTTTGTCCTCATATTCTCTAATAAGGTAGAGTCTGCATCGACGTTTTCCACTGGGAAGCGTTCAGCAGCCTGAAGACCACAGACGTCTCTCTTCACCGACTAACTGGCTTGAAGGTTAAAGGGACGAGTGTCAGAGGAATTACTCGCTCTCATGGGGAAGACGCATCCCTTGAGGGAAAATGTTCTTCATGCAAAGCAACTTAAGGGGAATGTGCTTGAGTTAATTACACCCACCGAGGACATTAAAAGGAAAGGAATTGCTCAGTTAGACAATAATTAATTTTAATCAAAAAGCATAGTTTCTTTGAGCGACACAGAGGCGCCTACGCTTGTCAGAGTCTAAGGGAAACAGGGACAATTCGGCTTCTGCTAGCATACAGAAATGAGGTTAGTTAATCATATTTAATTAGATGAAATCAAAATGAGGTTGTGTGGATTAAATAATATCCAGTATTTTGTTTGAAAGGCACATAAAGAGTTAGGCAATGAGTGCAAGTTTCTTGCATGTTTACTCTGTTTGTGTAGCTACTATTAAAACAAAAAAATTCAGCTAGAAAATATCAAAGTAGCGTAAAAAATTATATAAATTATATAATTTATATGAATTTATGTATTATATAAATTTTGGAAAAACAAATTAATAGTTTTTGTATATATGTATATATTGTATATCTTTTGTAAATGTGTACTGAAATGTGTTTCCATTATTGAAGAAGAAATCCAAAAAAGCTAATTTTGACTTTTTAGGTCACACACAGTTAAGACTTCTTTTCGGATTTGTTTGAAAGTTTTTTACAATGCAATTACAAGAAACCAAGTTCTGAGAAATAAAATCATGCAAACTTATAATTGTGCAAACTAAGGTGCAAACTTATAATTGTGAAAATGCTATTAAACACTACAGATTATGTTGTGGTGAAAATGACACTGTGTTGTAAAATATGAAGAACATTACTACAATAAACAAAATTATAATATAATACTAGAATAATAATGTATGATGCATGCATTGCTGGTGCGACAATTGACTTCAGGCCCAATCATAAATGGTACACTTATCACCTGATTGCCCTTTGGGTCCATGCTTTGTGACATAATACTACTTTTTCTGTTGAGCTGAATTATGGCTGAGGGTCGCCTCATTGACTTGGCACTCAGCGGCCGCAAAAGCAGGTGTTCTTGAGCACACTTCCAAAAGGTAGAATAGTAAATGGGACACTATGCCTACACTCTCATAGAGTTAATGGACCTGCAAGAATATTGCAGGCTGGAAGAGTAAGCGATAAATGCTACAATTCACAGCCAGCTCTGCAGATTTTCTGTTGGCCAGAATTAAAACAATACTAGTGTTTGATTTGCACAAACAAATGAAGAGTTTGGTT